AGGGAGGGCCCATAGTTATTTTTTACCAATTTAAAATTTACCTAGTCCTTTTCCATGACAGAAGAGAGTATAGCAGTATGGTGGGTGGAATGGCTTTGAAGTCAGAAAAACCTCCAGGCCAAGTGCCACCATTCACTGTGGGTGAACTTTGGCCAGATTCTGTACCTACTTCTGTTCCTGACTTAGGGTGGCCGTGACTCCAAGGGTTGTTGCAAGGATTAAGTAAGTATGGACTTGTTCAGCTACCCTCTAGACCCCATATCACCCCTCTCTATCACTGCTCTTTGTTGCTTTAGTGCCAGATTTACTATTAACTTGAAAATAAAATTAAAAATTACCATGCATTCAAAAGCTAAGTAGAAGTAATGCTACTGCTGTGAATTCAGCTGAACTGCTCATTTGCTCTAAGTAGCATTCCATGTTTGCCACTGTTCTCCCCTCTTACCTTGCCTCATCAGACTTGATATATTGCTAAAGACTTAATGACTTTAAGTGTTGCTGAAAGGATCAGAGGAAAGAAAAAAATGTGCTCTACCCCCACCCCATGCCAAATATTTCTTCAGTGTGTTTAATTATTTTAACGTGTGGGTTGAAGCACTGTCATTATCTGCAAAATATAGTGTATAGTCTTGACAGAGTGAATCAGAAGAACCTCATGTGAAAATGTGCCCTGCAGCCTCATGTTCAACTGCTCCCAGTGAGAGGTGTGAATGAAGTGCTTATTGCACGTTAGCCTGACCTAGGGAGTAAGTTCTAGAAGAGAGATTATAGTCTCACTCTAACAGAGTCTCAGTCTGAATCAGGTGAATTTGATTTTCTGACTCTAAGTTGGAAATAAAAAAGAAAAAAAGGTAAGACAATTTTCTACAAACCTTCACATTACTTAGCAGAATGCCTTTGGGGCTGCAAGTTTTGTTGTGGTGGTGAGGACTTTGATGTCTGTTTCTGTGAAGCAGAATGATATGTGATGGGACAGAAATTGGTTTGCTTAGGGCTTGGCAGGGCTGGGAGAAAGTGGTGATTGGAATCTTAAGTGCTCTTTTGAGGCTACTCAACTGTGATAAATAAGATCAGGAGGAATTCCACCGACAGGCTTTGGGACAAGGAGATGTAGGGGGTAGTTCAGATAGAGTGTTCTGTTATACCGTGGAGAAACATGACAGTTCTCTGTGAGCCTGTGTGAGCATTCAAGCAGGAGAGAATAGTGGTTGGCACAGGAGTAATATATTGGAGGACAAGCCTCAGTCACAGCTGAGGTACTTTGTCAGGCACTCAGGCCGGGAGAAAAGCTACCCAGATCCTGAACTGTGTGGTACAAGGTGGAAATCCGTTCATGGCAGTAGAGTGTCAGCCATCTGGGTTACTTGGCAGGAGTTCCATATATTTCTCCAAAGTAAAGACAGGACTGTTCTTAGGAGCAAGTCTGAGTTGGGCAATTTGTTAAATAGTGAGAAGTTAACATGGGCAATGGAAACAACAGGAGTTACAGCATCTCTCAGGAAATTTCCCTAACATGAGCCAATATTCAGCTGCTTAATTACAAAGTTTTTTTGTTTTCAAGTAATAGAATTACACAAACCATTCCTAGGTCAAATAGCAGTCCCTGCCTTGTCTGTATCTCTCCTTGATTCTCACTCCCAGAAGTGACCACCTTCTTTTGATATTTGTGTTCTTATTCTAAGTAACATATTTATAATGCTATTCTAAAAACTCTTGAAAATACCCAGAGACTGCACCCAGGGAGGGTAAGGATTCTTTTATATTCTATCCTTACTCTTCTTCTTCCTCACACACATACTGTCACCCTAGCTGATTTTGAAAATCAATTTAACAAAGATTAAAATAAGTAAATGATATTAATTTGGTTATTATGGTTTTCTGTGTCACGGTCGGTTTCATTTGCACAGTGACCTCTATATACTCTGAACAAGCCGTAAAACTCATAATAATGTAAAATTCATCAGATGGCATTATACTTTTTTCACCTTGGAGCCATCCCTCCAACTTTGCTTGATAGCCTGCTACATAGCTGCTTTGGAAATGTTCTTCATTTCTTCTTAGTAAGATTTCTGTGTTCTGGATCCCGAATCTTTTTTTGTTTTGAGGCATAATCTTAGTAACATTCTGAGAAAGGCAGCATGGGAGAGAAAATATTTTAAGACCTTTACATGAAAATCAGCCTTACTGCAAATGTATCTTTTTTGCCCTTCTCACATTTGACTCACAGTTGGTGGATATAGAATTCTCTGCTGCTTTTCCTTCAAAATTGTGACAGCATTGCACCACTGTCTTCTGGTTTTCAGTATTGTTTCTGAGAAATCTGATGCCATTCTGATTTATGTTCATTGCATATAAGCTGTTTTCCTTTCTAGAAATTTTTATTTTTTCTCAGTGTTCTGAAATTTCAAGATGAAGTGCTCTGAAGCAGGTCTCTTGTCGGTCCTTATTCTGAGCACTCAGTAAGTCATTTCAATATGAAACTCATATTCTTTGCTACAAGAATTTTTCTAGTTTCTCTTATTGAGGTTTTTGATCCTTTGTTTTCTCCACTGTCTTCCCCTCCCCCATGAGCATTTTGCTCATTGCTTTTTAATTCTATTTCCTAGAAAGTATCTTGAATTTTTATTCTGTTTCTGAGAAAAGGTCTTCAATTTTAATTTCCTGATTTTTGGGGGCTTTTCTCTTAAATTTATGTTGCCAAGTAAAAATGTCATTTTTTTCCTCTAAAACAGTTTTGCTTGCTTTCTGAAGGTTTGAATATTCTTTTTTTTATTTTATTTCGCTAATGATTTCTTTTAAAAAATCTGCTCACGGCCTGATCTGTTTTGTTTAGAGTTCATTTTCTTCTGTTAGTTTACTTCTTTGTCTTATTAACAGTTTCCTCTTGTATTTTGTGACTCTTGGAAAGCCTTTATACTTAAGACTGAGGTACTAAAAGGTAATTGGAACTGTGTGCAGGCAAGGTTTGCTAACTAATGAAAAGCTGGACATTTTTGGATGGGAGCCACAAATGTCAGACACTGTGGGCCTTTTGGGCACATTTCCCCAGGAAGGAATACCACTTTGTCCTGGCTAGATAGATGATTGTTTTATGGAATTGAGGGGAGAAAAGTATGCACGTGTGTATGTGTGTGTGTGTGTGTGTGTGTGTGTGTTGTGGGGCAGGGTATATCTCATTATTCCTGGGAAGAATTACCCTCACTTCCTTAACTTAGTAGTATACGTCTTTCCCGCTTACATTTGGTTCAGCATCTCTAGATAGTAAATCTTCAGGCTTCTTCCTGGAGACGGGAACCAGGCACCTGAGGGAACCCGGGCCTGTGTGTGGTGCTATTGGCATGTGTGTTGCCAAGTGTAGATGGTTCTAAACTGATAGCTTTCAAAAACACAACATTTAAAATTTCTATTGATATATGGTATGAAGGAAACACTTACACCAGAGCAAACAAGAAGAAGCAGGTTTAATGTACCAGTGCTGACTCAGCGGATTTGCATCCCAGCTCCGAGCCCTGTCTGTAGGAAGTCGGGAGCTCGTATATACATTCAGTTTCATCAGGGCCCTGGGTGCGTTTGTATTAGCAGCTGTTCATGGTCAGCTGTGGCTCACCAAGAGGTGAGCTGTATAGTTGCATATCAGAGAGGGAGTGAGAGGTCAGTAGTCACGGGACCCCTCCAGTCCACCTGCCTCATGGCAGTACATGTCCTAGCATGAAGCAAGATTCACATCAGGGGCAATGTTGCATACCAGGAACTGAGCACAAGGTTGTTGCTAATCTCCCCAGGCTGCTTATTTCAGGTCACCTTGCTTCACTATGAATGAACACATTTAGTAATTCTCATTAGGAAATAAAACTCGCCAGTACACACTTCTGTGTGATTTCTGCTTCTGGATTGTTCATCTCTCTGCTTTGGTCTCTTTCAGAGCAAATTGGAGCCTTGGCAGATCAGCACATTGTCCATGTGGCATGTGGCGAATCCCACAGTCTGGCGCTCAGTGATCGGGGCCAGCTCTTTTCTTGGGGTGCAGGGAGTGATGGTCAGCTAGGACTCATGACGACTGAGGATTCAGTGGCGGTGCCCAGGTAAGAATGTCACAGAAAGGAATCTGAGCTTCAAATGTCAATTGTAAAGGTGACATGCTGTCTTCATGTCATTAGATTCCTTGGTTTTGGTTCTGCTTATTACTTCATGAATGTTATTTTTCTTTGTGTCACTGTTATACTTGTCACAAAAATTGTCCTCATTTACAGAATTGTCCATCTCCAGTTAAAAAATATGAGTTGTGGGCTCTCCCTGGTGGCGCAACAGGTTAAAGCACCACATTATGAAGCTCTCTGAAGCCACTGCAGCACGAGTTCGATCCCCTGCCAGGGAACTGACCCACATGGCATGGCAGACCTCTTCTGACCCGCTCACTGCTCCCCTCCGCAGTGTACATTGTCAGTCTACTTGTTATGCTCCCCACTCTGTGTCTGATGAATCCTCTTACTTTATGCCCTTCTTTGATTTTTGTCTGCTTAATCACGACTGTTTTAAAGGAAAGAGCATGGATGGTAAGAGAGATTTGACTCACTGTTTAGAGCAGGTAATGTCTTCAGTTCCTTCCTCTCAAAAATTAACATTATTTTGTGGGAAGAGTGAAATAATTGTGTGTAATTTTAGGGAAAAGATTTATAATGCCAGTGACAAAAGTTTGTGGAAGATCAAGTACTCAAGTAAAGGTTCTTAGTGGCATTTTATTTCCCAAAATGAAGCAAGTTGTGTTAGCAGTTTAATTATCATTGGCTATATCTGTTATTATGGATACCTTCTGAGGTTTTAACTTTTATATAATTTTATATTATAACTTAATTGAAAAAAAATGTTACCTCATACCTTAGTGTTATGGAAAGTAACATGGCTTTGAAGTCAGTCTCCTAAAACTTGCTTTTGCTAATTTAATGTGTGACCTTGGGCAGATTGTTTAACTTTTCTAAACCCCATTTCTTAACTTAAAAGTGGACTTATGTATTATTTACTTAACAGAGCTTGAGAGGATTGAGTGAGTGAGTAGGTAAAACACAGCACATGACTGTGCTATGCTTGTCCTGTCTGTCCCTCAGGGCCATCCCCGTTATTTGTTTCTGTCCATTTGACCTGCTTCTTTCTGTAGCTGTGATTGTGAAGTTGTAGTAGGTGTAATGGTGACCTATAAAGGGAATATTGTGGGGGAATTAGAGTGGAAACTGACCAGGAAAAAAGGATTATTGCTTTACAGGGTTTCTAAAACCTTGATCTCTAGTCAGCACTGCGTGTTCAAATTTTAAAAAATGGGTTTGTACAAATTTTTGATATATGCCATAACTTGGCTGTATATCCAGGGAATCATTCTAAATGAAAAAGTCAATCCTGAAGGTTACCTACAGTATGATTCCGTTTACACAACATTCCTGAAATGACAAAATTTTAGAAGTAGAGGCTAGATTTCTGGTTGTGATGGGCAGAGGAGAGAAGTGATAATAAAAGCACAATGGGAATTCTTGTGGTACAGCAGCCCTTAGTGCCTTAACTATGCTGGTAGATACATAAACTTACAGAGGTGAAAAAACATACACAGGAGGTTGGTTACAATAAAGCTGCGAACATTTCAGTAAGATTGGCAGATTGTATTAGTGTTAATATCCTGTTTTAGATATTAAGCTATCATTTTTGCTAATGACCATTTGGAAGCAAATGATCCAAGGGATGGCTGTATTATTATTGTTATTATTATTTTTAAATTATATAATAGTTTATTTTTACATCATTTTTGCCTTTTCCCATCTCAGTTGTAATCCCTGTGGGCTTCCCATCACCAAATCATCTATGTATTATTATTTTAAAAAGATTTATTTATTTATGCATACGGAACTGGAGTACAGGCCAGAGGTGCAGGGTCGGTGAGAGGATTCACCAGAGACAGAGTGGGAAGCAGAACGGGCAGATCTACAAAGTACACTGCTGAGGGGAGCAGTGGGTGGGTCAGAAGATGTCTCCTGTGCCATGTGGGTCAGCTTTCTGGCCAGGGATCAAACTCGTGCTGCAGTGGCTTTGGAGAGCTTCATAATGTGGTGCTTTAACCCATTGTGCTACCAAGGAGGGCCCATGTATTATTTTTTTACACTGAATGATTCTTCAGTCATCTTAATAAAAAAATACTTGGGTTCTATTTAATGTGAATTCTTTCAACTCTTTATATCTGAGAAAATAAAACACTGATAAATGCAACGTGTACCTATCACTCTAAATATTCCCCAGCTCCCCCAAGGGACATCTGGCTTTCAGGATGCCCTTCTGAGGGTGTGTCTGACTCCTTTTTCCCATGGCAGATACATAATGAAGAGGAACATGGCAGCTGTGAGCTATTAAATAGCAAGATATATTCCCAGGCCACCAAACTATGTTAGACTGTTGTAAGCACTTTTCACTTATTTTCCCCCATAACTTTGTATTTTTCTTATCTCTGTCTTTCCCATGAGCCAACTGAGGAGAGACTTGAAGTTCTCCTGTGGCCTTCCTTCTCTGCCATTCTAAGGAATCAGAGTTGTGGAAGCAATGCCTGCATTTTTTATTTTTCTTGTGGTAAAATACACATTACATAAATTTTTACCATCTTAGTCATTTTTAAGTGTGCAGTTCAGTAGTGTTAAGTATATTCATGTTGTGTAACCAGTCTCCAGAACCTTTTTATCTTGCAAAAATTAAACTCTGTATTCTACATAACTCTACATTTCCCCTCTCCTCAGCCATTTGTAGTCACCATTCAACTTTGCATGAATTTCGCTGTTCTCTATGATTCCATTTATCGGAGATATCTAGTATTTGTCTTTTTGTTACTGAATTCTTTTACTTAGCATAATGCTCTTGAGTTTCTCCCATGTTATAGTGTGTTAGAATTCCTTTCTGTTAAGTCTGATTGATGCTCCGTTGTATGTTTACACCACATATTGTTTATCCATTCATCTATTAATGGACATCTTGATTGCTTATCCATATTGTGAAGAATGCTGCTGTGAATGTGCTGTGCACATAGCTCTTTGGGACCCTGCTTAAATTCTTCTGGCTATGTATCCAGAAGTGGAATTGCTGCATTATGGCAGTGCATTCATTTGGAAGGCCATTTAGTTACCCATCATATTCTTCGGGATATCTTTTATGTAGCTTCTTCCATTTGTCCCTGACTTGGAGATGACAATGTGGGAATTAACAGAGGGTTTTTGAACAGTAACCTAATCAGGAGGTGAGTGAAAGACCTAATGAAATGACATCTTGTCTGATTGTGCATTTGACTTAAAATATTTTTCAGGAAAGATGATATTATTTCTTACCACTGTTTTATTATGAACAATTCTGGCCATTGTTTGTGATTGCCCATCTCCAAAAAAAAAAAAAAAACCCTTTTCTGTTGTAGGTTAATACAAAAACTGAACCAGCAGACAATATTACAAGTTTCCTGTGGCAACTGGCATTGCTTGGCTCTTGCAGCTGGTAAAGTAACGTTTACATATGTGCTAATGTTATATTAATTTTTAGCCATTTCTATAGGCATTTTAGTGTGACGTTATCTAACTGAAACCCTTTATCAGGTCAGGGTTTGTGCATTGCTGTTGGATAGTGGCTGTGCTCGGATAGTCTTTGCAGAGCTCTTACCTTCCTCAGACTGGATGATGAGGGAAGTAGTTGTCATTGCTGCCACAACTCTCTCATGATGAGCATGGGCAGGACTGTGCTTGAGTGTCTTTGGCACACAGAAGATAGGTTTTTCTTAGCAATAGCGCCTTGTCAAGTTGCAGCCTACTGTCAAGCTCTATTCCATTATCAATCTCCCAATTAATGAAAATGACAGTATGGAAAATGCAAATCTGGAGATACCTAAGCCAGCTGTAAACTACATTAAGCTTGAGGGTAAGGTGTGGCCACGTCCTGCCCCATGGGTACAACATGGCTGGGCCACAGCTCGCCCTTATGAAATCTGGGGGCTGGTGTTCTTGGTGTGGCCAGAACTGGCTCAACTTGCTTAGTGCACTTGAGGCTAGTAATTGGCACTTTTAAAACTGAGTTGCCTCAAACATTTAGTTTTTTTCCTTGCATAAAGTTAATAGTTTTTGGAGGGTAGTGACCTGTTTTATTTTTCTCTTGTCTTAGCAAAGGGAAGTTTGGGTTTTGGCAGTTATACAGTGTGAGTGTGTGATGGGGGTAACTGTATTCTTCTTAGATAATTTGGGGGAGGGAACTTGTGTAACATCTACTTTTGTTGCAGATGGTCAGTTCTTCACATGGGGAAAGAACAGCCATGGGCAGCTGGGCCTGGGGAAGGAGTTCCCATCCCAGACCAGCCCGCAGAGGGTGAGGTCCCTGGAGGGGATCCCACTGGCGCAAGTGGCTGCTGGAGGGGCTCACAGCTTTGCCCTGTCACTCTCAGGAGCTGTTTTTGGCTGGGGGATGAATAATGCAGGGCAGCTAGGACTCAGTGACGAAGAAGGTAAGTAAGCTGTTCACTTGTCTCTGTCGTTTCAAATGCTCATTTGGTTAGCACATGCTTCCTGAGGATGCAATGTGCTGACCCCATGGTAGGTACTAAGGATACAGCAATACACAGAATAGATTCTTCTTGCTTCATGCAGAGTCAGTGTGGGCAGAGCAAACAACAAACCAGCCATTGCATAGTATATCAGAGGGCGTGGGAGTCAAGTTCCCTATTGACATGGGTGCTCAGGAGAGTCTCCTTGATTAGGTGTTTGGGCTAAAACCTGTGGGAAGACAGGTAGGAAAGGAGACCTGTAGACAGTGGGCAAAGAATATTCTGATCAAAAAGAATGGGGTATGCAAAGACTCTGATGCTTGTAGACCCTAGTGTGCTCAGCAGGGGATGGACAGGTGAAGGGCAGAGGGTGGGCAGTCAGGGAGACAGAGCCCAACTCTGTGGGGCCCCGTGGGCACAGTAAGCACTCAGGTTTCTCTCAGAGAATGGGGAGAGGAAGGGAGCCAGGGTTTTGAGAAGAGTGATCTAATTTGACTTTGGCTATAGCGGGTCAGGGGTCAATCTGGCCCATCAGTTTGGAGGCAGTGGGAATACATTTGGATTTTGAAGATGAAGACAGTTTTGCTTATTATTAGATGTGTCACTTGAAATAGAGGAGAAACTAGAGAGATATAGTTGTCATTTATGGAATGAGGGAAGCTGTTGTGTGTGTGTTGTGGGTGGGCAGAGTTGGGACTATTAGGAAGCCTTGAGTTAGGTTCTTACTATATGGAAAATGGCATGTCTGTTGGGCATATAAGTGGAAAGGAAGGAAGAAGAATATGTGAGTCAAGAATCTTGGGGGACCCAATATTCCAGGCTAAGATAGTTGCATACATTTCCATTCCAAGGCAAATATATGACAAACAAACATAATGTTGTATATCTCACTCTAGATCGAGAGTCTCCTTGCCATGTGAAGCTCTTACGAACGCAGAAAGTCGTCTATATTAGTTGTGGAGAAGAACATACTGCAGTCCTCACGAAAGTAAGGGCATGGTTTATTCTGGGGTGCTTCGGTATGACTAGACAATTAACGTTGCTTGAATCTTTTTTTTTTTAAAGATTTATTTATTCATACAGAACTTGGGTACAGGCCAGAGATGCGGAGGGTGAGAGGATTCACCAGAGACAGAGCGGGGAGCAGAACAGGCAGATTGACAAAGTACACCTGCTGAGGCAGGTCAGGAGAGGTCTGCCACGCCATGTGGATCTCCTCCGGGGCAGGCCGGAGTTGAACTCATGCAGAAGTGCTGAAGCTTCTTAGTGCTGTGCTTTCATCTGGTGCGCCACCAGGGAGGGCCCATTGCTTGAATCTTTTTGAGAGTGTCTTTTAGAGAGAGTAGTGATGGTGTTTAAAATAAGTGCAGTATAAATAACCTTAAATTCTCATACATACAGCAACATCTTGTGTTCTTTAAAACAATCCATTTAAATATGTAAAAAAGAAAGAAGCGTGATTAATGTTTTAAAATTATCAACCCATTTTTTGGTTTCTAAAACAGTCATATTAAGAGAGTGAAATGTATTTTCATGTTGCACAACTTTTTTTTTGTTTGTTTAAGATTTATTTATTTGTGCACACAGAACTGGGGGACAGGCCAGAGGCTCAGGGGCGGTGAGAGGCTTCACCAGAGACAGAGTGGGGAACAGAACCGGCAGATCAACGAAGTACACTGCTGAGGGGAGCAGCGGGCGGGTCAGGAGAGGTCTGCCCCACCATGTAGATTTCCTCCGGGGCAGGCGGGAACAGAACTCATGCAGAAGTGGCTTTAGCTTCTTAGTGCTGTGTTCTTTAACCTGCTGCAACTCCAGGGAGGGCCATGTTGCACAACTTTTATAGATACACTTTAATAAATGGTCAGCATTTGTTCAAGTACAGCTTTTAAAAAGGAGTTGTGAAACATTTAGTTTTTTTAAAATGATATTTATGAATGATCATGCAATATCATCTCATTTCACTTATTTCTTTGTTTTTGGTTTTACTTTCTAACACATCACTGTACTTTTTTTCTTTAAAAGATTTATTTTTATTTATTTATGCATACAAGAACTGCAGTATAGGCCAGAGGTGTTTGTGGTAGGGGGGAGGATAAGAGGAATCACCAGAGACAGGTAGGTATATCGAAATACATTGCAGAGGGGAACAGGGGGTGAGACTGGAGAGGTCAGCTGCACCATATATGAGCTATCTCCCTGACAAGAGATTGAACTCAGGCTGCAGCAGTGATAGTATGATAGTTCTGAGACATCATCCCTGTATGACCAGGGAGGCCTTATCATTGTACTTTTAAGCAGTTTCAAAAATTTACAGCTGGTATACCTTCCCTTAAGGAGTGATATCTTGGTACCATAAAGATGTAGCTTTAAATTCTTTAAAAACATTTTTTTTTTCTATTTAATGACTATTCCAAAGAAGTTGATTTTGGACAGATAACAAATGAATGTAGTGTTTATCTTGGATATTTATGATATGAAATTTGTTTATCAAAGGTTTTAGAGAAATGTTCTCAAACTTGGAGTACAGTGAAGTCACATGGTACTTTGTTTCTTCCTAGAGTGGAGGTGTCTTTACCTTCGGTTCTGGTTCCTGTGGACAACTTGGACATGATTCCATGAATGACGAGGTTAATCCAAGGAGAGTTCTAGAGCTTATGGGCAGTGAAGTAACTCAGATTGCTTGTGGCAGGTGAGTGCTTGTCAGAGCTTCTTCTAAGACAAAAATAGATTGTGTCTTTGTAGCGATGGAGAATGTGGTTCAATATGAGCCCCATTATTTAAGGAAATCTTAAACTGCCTGTTCAGCAGTGGTGAAAGTTTGGAGGTCGGATATGAGTAGTAATAAAGTTTTAGATAAAGTAGAGTACTGTGGGGATCTCAGGCTTTTTTTAGGATAAAAGGTTAACAGTATGTGGGAAAGCCTTGAGGAAAGGAAAGTGAGAGTCTCAAAGAACTTGGAAATTTTGGTGGGTTCACTTACCCCTTTTGCTACAGGACAAAAGCGCAGGCCCCTCAGCTTGGTGTAAGCCTAGCCACCCTCTCCAGGAGTTAGATTGTGGGAGGGTAGTCTTATGAAAACCAGCCATTGGAGAAAGAGTCACATGTAAATATAGGGGAAGCTTTTTAGTGGCACCCGTAGAAATTGTTCCCCTCAAAAATCAGGGTCTGATATTCAGATTCCATATCAGAGTATCAATATCCATGTCAGAAGAAACTGTGCTCACAAGTCGATTTAATTTCTTTCCCCAGACAGCATACTCTAGCCTTCGTGCCTTCTTCTGGACTCATCTATGCATTTGGTTGTGGAGCAAGAGGTCAGTTAGGAACTGGACACACCTGTAATGTGAAGTGCCCATCTCCTGTAAAAGGGTACTGGGCTGCCCACAGTGGTCAGCTTTCAGCCAGAGCTGGTAAGCAGAATTTTCATTGGAATTTAGTGAACTTTTAAGTGGTAAGAGCTATGAAGTTTTTTGAAGGGAATGATCATGAGGTATTTTAACATCAATCCGCAAATACGTGTTTACTATATACAAGGCTCTGTAGTTGAAATCCCAAAGAAGAAAGAAAGGAGACAATGTTATTTTGGTCCTAAGACCATGGTGATGGTGCATAAAATTTTTAAATCAGTGTTGCTAATAATGAGAGTTAATGTTTAATAATGCTTAGCCAAATTGCAGCACTCAAAGCAACCCTAAGAACAGATGGCGATTACCCTCTTATTGGAGATGAAGAGACTAGGACTTAAGAGGTTAAGTAATTGCTCAAGATCACATAGATCTGGGGGCATGACTTAGTAAAACCCAGCTCTGGGTCATTCTAAAGCCTGGAGACTGTATGCTTGTACTGTCACTTTGCCCTTACTATTGCTATTTTGTTCATAATGTGGCGTGATTTCTTTTAATGCTATTTTTTCCCAGTTAACTAGTATTAGTTAGCTGTGCCTTTGCCATAGGAACAAAATAAGGCAGTCATGTTATAGGAGTGACTTGAAGTAATACATGTAGAGTCTGATTGGCGCTAGAGCATCTCAAGGAAGTGTGGTTTGATAATTAATTTTGATTTTGATCTTTCAGACTATAAAATGACACAATTATAGCATGATCAAGAATTTTAGAGTACATTTTCATAAGTTTCCTGCTGGATTGTTAGAAAGTTGAGGATAGGAAGTCATTTCCTTGTTGTAATCCTAGTATATAGTACAGGACTTGGCACAAACTTCTTACTCAGTAAATATTTATGAAGTGACTCTGTGAGCAGCTAAATGCATAGTGGAACATAAAATGTAGAGTAAGTAAGTTTTTGTTAGGTGATGTTTCCAAAAGTGAAAGATCACTTGGTGCCTATTTCTCTGTCACTTTAAAATGTCCTTTCCTCCAAGACATTGTATTCTTGTATGAACATATGAAGTATGTCCATTTAAAAACTCCAGTGTTTTATAGATTTCTTTGAAACCACTCATTTTCAAACTTTCATTACAACCTAACTCTTGAGGTCATAGATTTGTGGTTGGATGTTTTCCACAATGATTTTATAAGTAGGTACATTTCAATTTTCTGTGTAAATGTTGTAGCGTTAGGGGCCTTCCTGTAATGTGCAAGCAGAGGAAGGTATCAAAGACCTTTCCCGTTAGAGGAAGTTTGAGCTGTATCTTAAAAGCCAGGTAGAGTTCTGTGAGGGAGGGGGCGGTGGTGAGTACGTGGAATTGCTCAGTTCCAGGAGCACTGATCTGATGACGATCCAGGAGGAGCTGTTCAGGGAGAGTGCAGTGGCACTGGGGTGGCAAAGGCAGCGCCATAGGAGATAGTATTCTAGAAATGAAAGCGATGTGGTGGTATTGGAGTGTTGCCATGGTTATGATGTGAGGGGTGATGAAGAAGGGAATAGGAAATGGAGGCCTTATGTCAGACCTTACCCTGAAGTGGGTAGAGGCCTTCAAACTCAGAGGCTGAACTATTTATTAGGCGCATGTTGCCACTTACAGCAGTGACCGTTTTAAATAGGCCAGTGGCATGACAGTGTCAGAAAGGAAAGAGAAATGAGATTAGGGTTAGTTGACAGTTGGGAGGGGGCTGAGGAAGGGTTAGACTGGACAGTACCATTAACATAGTTATTTTGAATTGAACTAGGGAAAACTCTGGGGAAAGAACCCAGGAGTTAAGGTTCCTTCTCTGATGAATATCCACCAAAATGTATTTTGGAATATAAGAAAAAAGGGTTCAAGGAAAAGCTTTAATAATGAAAAATATACTGTTGAATATTTTTTTGACAGATCGTTTTAAATATCATATTGTTAAGCAGATCTTCTCTGGAGGAGACCAAACTTTTGTTCTTTGCTCCAAATATGAGGTAACATTTTCTTTTGACTTTTATTTTGGGGGTGGAATAATGGTGAAGATGAATCAGTACGTATTTGAATAATTACATGAAAGAAATGTCCCTCATTATTTCTATTTTTTTAAAAGATTTTAATTTATTTTTGTTTAGAAGAATTGGGGAGCAGGCCAGAGGTGCAGGAGGGTGAGAGGATTCATCAGAGACAGAGTAGGGAGCGGAACAGGTGGAGTGACTGAAATACCCTGCTGAGTGGAGCAGTGGCTGAGACAGGAGAGGTCTGCCAGGCCATTTGGGTCAGCTCCTTGTCTGGTGATGGAACTGAAGTTGTTATGGTGATAGTGCTGAGACTTAACCCCCAGGCCACCAGTTTCTATTAGTTTTATCTTATTGAAATAAGCAAACTTAACCTAAGTGCCAACAATTTTCCTGGCATTTTTTTTTAATAATATAACAGCTTATTTTTACATCATTTTGTACATTATTTTTTGTCATCTCAATTGTAATCCCTGTGGGTTTCCCATCACCGAGTCACCCATGTGTTTCCTGGCATTTTAACCAGAATTCTAATTTGCAGTTTAAAGTTATTTATTTGTATCCACATTTGTTCCAAAAAGAGATTTAAGTGATCTAGAAAATGAACACTTACTTTGGCATTATTTGACTTTTCATTCTTTCCTTCTCTATTAAGTAGCAACAAATAGGTATTTGAGAAATTAGTAGGCTGTTTGGTTTGATGTAATTATATAAAAGAGAAAGGTGATCCCATAATATTCAGACATCCTGGATTGTGTCTGATCGGCCTACAGGACACAGACTTGTCCTCATATTGTCTCCTGCTGTTGCTGTAGTGAGGAGGCAGAAGAATGACGTTACAGTTGGGGTGGAAGATAGAATAGAGTGAAGAGCCACTGTCTGCGATGGCTTTTAATTTCTTCTTCTTGGACAAGGAAATCCCTCAGAATCCCTCGCCACAGACTCGCTCTCCTCCTTCCACCACTTCTTTGTTCTTGCATTTTTCTCTCATCTTTCATCTCTGTTCACCCACCCTGCTTTGATCAGTAAACATTTAGGGGGGACCTAGTCTATGTTGTATTCTGATCCTGCCCTATTCTGGAGGAGCTGGAAGTAATGTCAATGATAAAGGAAGCTGAATCAGTTGAGGAAGAAAACAAGGAATGATAGAAACAAGCGGAAACCCCTCCACTGTCCTATACTTTGCATCTTTCAATATACTCTGTTCCTGCCCTCTTATCAGTCCAGTATTTGATTTTGGTAGAAAAGGTGGTGGAGGTGAAGATTCCAAGTTGGACCATAACAGCTAGCAACTTGATACTCCAGCCAGGTCAGGGAGTAAGAGATGACTTGCAGTGCTTCTGTGTGGGTGATTTGGCACTGCGACTTCCACCTATTTTAGGCCCCACGTCAGTGCTTCACAGAGAAATTTTGAGGAAAGCTGAGATGATTCTCCATTTCTTCAAGATTCCAAAGAGGTAGCATATGAAAAGCTTTGCATCTCTGCAGGATAACAATTTGTCCACAAGTCAGAGTTTGAAGTATTCAGTTCCCCGAGAAACTGACTTGAATAATATTATATAACTTCCATTTTCCTGTCAAATTCCACATAAAACTTAATTTAATTCCCTTTATAAGTATGATATCTATGTAGGTGGATCTTAAGCTACTATAATGAGCGCTGTTGGGACAGGCAACCAAAACATTGATGAGAAGCCAGGGCAGCAGCATAATGCTGGAGATATAGGCACGTTGCATTTAAACAGCTGGTAAGGGTGGCATGCACTGAAAATGTAAGGTTGCAAAGAAAGAGAAAGCTGAATAGTACTTAAAAAGTACTTTTTAAACTTGGATCCTACACGCTTTTACTCAGTAATGAACCATAAATGTTTGCTTAGATACAAGACTGATCCAATCATGTGGTAACCTTGTTGCCATATGGCTTTGAGAATCACCTGAAAGACCAACAAGGAGTACCTGTGACACACTGATAGGCACCGTTTTTGTAAAAATGTTGGCTCACTCATTAATGCCAAGCCTGAGATAGAAGAAGGAAGTGTGTGAGGGTCTGGAGAGTTACGTTCCAATATTCCTTGACAGTATTTATTTTGGAAGTTTTTATTGTAAAGCATAGCTTCCATTTTTCTTGCATCTTATTCCCTGGATAAGATTAAAAGGGGCAAAATGGTTGGTCTTGTTAGACTGTGTGTGTGTGTAACTGTATCTCTCTGCCTCAAGGCATTCTGTATGACACACACTCCTGGACTTCTCAAAACAGTTACTCTCAGCCATCTTTGCCCATTGAAATCACCCTGGGGCTTTAAAAACACTCACTTGTAGAGGTTCTGATTTAATGTGTCTCTAGTGTGAATAGGCTGTTAGGACTTCTCCCACCACTTCCCAAAACCTTCATTGGTATTTATATTCAGAATGATATGTGGGCTTGGGGAATAATACATCTAGAGGATATTTTTTCTTGGTAAAACTTGGTTGTAATGTTAAAATTTAGATTTTCCACTGTGTATAATTCAATGCAGGTATTCACTAAATGACTCCATTTCAAAAATAAAAAGATATCTTTAGTGGATTAAAGGTTAGGAATAGTTGTAACATTTTTTCATCTCATGATACAACTTTGATGAATATTCCAGCTCTCAAAAAAACTCATGCTTCATTTATTTAATTTTTTTAACTTTTTGCTAAATATTTAAAATTCCACTGCTTTGCCTCTAATTCTCACTATTTTGAATAAGTCATTCCTAGCGATGGTAATTATGTCTTACAACGATGAACACCATTTCAATGTCTAGAAGAACACCTTTATCTTATGATTGAATGAGTACTGTTAAATGATCATGATCAGATGGAAGCATTGAGAGGTCAGCTAGTCCTGAACTTTGAATAACATTTGCAGGATTTTAGCAAACTTGAAGCTTTACACTTTTATGGTGCCTTGGGAAAGATTGATTTTAACATATTATTTATTTTTAATCCTCCCCCCCCCCATCTTCCCTTATGTCTCCTGGGTTCTCTCTTCTTTCCCTTCTCCTATCTGCAGAACTTATACTTCTTTATTAACATCTGCTAGTTTTTGTAGATATTCTATTTCATTGAGCTGTTTGCTATGTAAATGACCAGTACTTGTCTTTGTAAATATGATTTACTGTACTACGCTTGCTTCCCTCAAATTTCTTTCATTATTCTGTAGATGGTAGCATTTCATTTTTCTTTATAGATGAATAGTATTCCATAGTAGAGTTATACTGCTACTACTTAATCCAGTCTTCTACTGACAGGTTATTCAGGACTTTGGAAGCCTTGGTGAGCCGAATTGCTGTCAGAGTTGAGAAATTCTGAGATCAATTTCCTTTATTAATTCAAAAGCATGGAAAATTGATGCTTTTGCTTTGGTGGTATGATTTTGAGATTGTACTTTATCCAAGGCATTTGTGGTTTATTGGACAAGCAAGGGAGAATGAGAAAATAGTTTCATGTCTATATTTTATTGTAAGTATGTGTTAGAGTCAAGTTCAGCTGCCCCTTTAAGTGAGGGGAGTAATTAAAATTTGCACAGCAACAATGGTTTTAAAACCAAGGTGGAAAATTTATTTTGTTTGTGTGCTCAAGATTTTTTTTTTGTCTCATGATTTTCTCTAACTCAGGATGACTCTTTTCAGTAGGTGTCTGGGCTATATTAGTAGAATAAATATCAAGAACTAGATGATCAAAACTTTGTAAGAAATCTCTGATTTATTACATCCCCTCTTCCTTCACCCTAATAACATCTTAGCTCATAACTGGGAAATTGACCAGGAAAACTTACATTGATGGCTTTATTTTTACATTTCACTATAAAGAAGATAAAAAGATCTCATGAGTTGGGGCAGAATGATTTAAGTTTTTCCTCTTTACAAGTGACAACTTTTTTTTTTAGTTCTAGGTCAAGAAAGGGATTTGGGGCAAATAGTTGAAAAGGAGAACTTTTATAAAATAAAAATATTTATACTGATTTTTTAAATTTAATTTTCCAGTATAAAGGCTATATAGTGTGGCCAGCATTTGAAAATTTCAGAGGCATCATTGACATGTTCTTTATACCTCCTTCCTTATTAATTTATATCTCTGTACTTGAAGCAAGAAATTAAGAGGCATTAAGTTGTTGGTTCTTTTTAAAAGATTTTATTTATTTTTGCATAGAAGAACTGGGATGTAGGCCAGAGGTGTGGTGAGCTGTGGTGAGAGGATTCACCAGAGGCAGAGTAGGGAGCAGACAGGTGGATTTACTAAAATACACTGCTGAGGTGAGCATAGGGCAGGACAGGAGAGATCTGTTGTGAAGAACCATTATAAGTTGTTATAGATTATTTATAATAAAGATTTTAACTGAAATTTTTTAAAATGATATATTTATGCATACAGAACTGGGGTACAGGCCAGAAGTGTAGGGGTGGTGAAAGGATTCACTAGAGACAGAGTGGGGAGCAGAACAGGCAGACTGATTGAAATACACTGCTGAGGGGAGCAGTGGGTGGGTCAGGAGAGGTCTGCTGTACCAAGTGGGTCATTCCCTTGGGCGGGGATCGAACTCATGCTGAAGTGACATTAGCTTTTTAGTGCTGTGCTTTAACCTGCTGTGCCACAAGGGAGGGCCCCTAACTGAACTTTTATAAGACTTTTTCTTGGTGTTTAATGAACAGTTAGGCAAATGATTAATACCTTGAAGACTTTGATATTATGGTGGTTCAAAGCAGAGTGAGGGGAGGAAAGGGTGGAAAAGTTGTATTTGGGTAGTTTCTCTGGGAAATGGAACTCGAGACTGAGATTTTTGCTAAAACGTATTTTGGGGAAGCATGTTCTAGAAAATCATCTATCTAGGGCGGAAGGAGTTTGGATTGGGCAAAAGTTGAACTGCAATTCAGTGTGTAGAGATGCCACCAATCCCACAGAGAGCTCTGACATTAGGATGGCTTTTCAACTAGTCAGGAGTTGAGGCAGGGGTTTGGATTTTTGTACCATATCTCACCTGACATTGGATAGGCAGGAGTGAAGGCTAGTCAAGGGCAAGGCCAGTCCTGTAGACCATGACAGCTGGGAGTGGGGTTACACAGTTGCAGATCTCCATCCTGAAGGGTGGGAAGGGCCCAGGCAGTGAACTGCAGCACCCATACATAACAAACTAGATAGTGAGGAGGAGAGGGAAAAAGACCCATTCTACATAATTTCTCTTTTTCACCATTATATTCAACCCTCCAGAATTCTTCTCCTGCTGTTGACTTCAGAACTGTGAACCAAGCACATTATACCAGTTTAATAAATGATGAAACCATAGCCGTTTGGAGACAAAAACTGTCAGAACACAACAATGCAAATACAATCAAGTATGTGGTGTTGCTTGTTTTCATTTTATTTTTTAAAACTGTCAGAGCTATCTAGGTTAGTGATTCCCCCACCCCCCATTTCCATATTAGGGCTGTGAATATAAGTAGAATTTTCCTTTTTTTTTCCTCTCAAGTTAAGCTCTCCTTTTTAAAACATTACATTTCTTTCTTTTAAGATTAATTTATTTTTCATACAGAACTGGGGTACAGGCCAGAGGTGTAGGGGCATTGAGAAGATTCACCAGAGACAGAGTGGGGAGCAGAAAGGGCAGAGTGATGAAGTACACAGCTGAGGGGAGCAGCGAGCGGGTCAGGAGAGGTCTGCCACGCCACATGGGTCACCTCCCTGGCCAGGAATAGAACTCGTGCTGAAATGGCTGTGGCTACCTTTGCAGTGTTGTATTCTAACTTGTTATGCCACCATGGAGGACCTGAGTTTTACACTTTAGAGAATCTTTTTGGCACATGTTTTTCAGGGTTTGATGCCTCAGCAACAAATAACATAAGGGATAGTCCCCCTTTCTCTCACAGTTTGTTTCTCATCTTGCTTTTTGTTCAGAGAAAATCTTAAAAATGCTGACTGATGAAGTTTTATGTTGGCCTTTCTGCTAAAAGAGCTTAGTAATATTGTTGTTTAACCCCAGGAGTTATTTATATACATGTTCCAAAGCATCACAAATCTAAGACAACTGTTTTTCTCAGCCAATATAAATAATTTCTAACATTTCACATTCAAAGTAATTAGTTGACAGGGTAATTCAGTATCAAATTTTAAAACACAGTTATACCGGATTAAGGCCTTTTAGCAAGTTATTTTCTTAAAGAACATTTTTCCTGTATATTTTTACACATTTTCCTTGACTGTGCTAGCATTTCCATTTTTCTGCAGAGAGTCTAATTCTTGGGAATAAGTGAATCACTCTGTGTACTAATTGGTCGTCATTTCCAGAAATGCGTATAATTCATCTTGCTTTATGACATAAATTGTCATGGGACAGATGCCCAGATGAACTTTTTGGCTCACAGCTGCAGGAGAGTCCTCAGGAGCCCTCTCTCTGGTGCCCCTGCCGAGGGGCAGGCCAGAAGTGGCGGGGAAGGGCACGAGGACTGGACTCATGCGGGGGGTGGGGGGTGCAGACGTGTGTCATCAGGACCTTGACACTTTACTCATTCTCGGTTTTCTTATTTATAAAATGAAGGGATAGAAGAAAGATCTCCAAAGATCTTTCCTGACCTATAGCCTATGATTAACAGGAGCTATTGGGGCCTCCATCTCCGTCATGTGTTTGTTTCAGGCCTCCCCTTTTTCTTATACTTAATAAGAGGGTCCAGTGTTCCCAACCTGCAATTTCACTCTGAATTCTTGGAAACTAACTATTTTCCCAGAACCAGTATAAACTAGGTAATTGGAATAAACACTCATTTCACTTATTTTTAGTTACTTTCTCAGAAGGAGATGGCATCAGCAAAGTAGAAGTGGTTGTTCAGTTATTAATTTGCAAAGATAGTTCCTGTGTTTCTCTTTTTTAGTTTTAGTTTGTATTCATATATAGAGGTCAGGTGGGAGTGTTTTAGATGGTTGATAGTAGAAGAAAGCTCAAGATCATTATCTGGAGTAAAAGTATTTTCCTCCTGTAGCATTGATAATCCCTTGGTAACATGACTTAAATTCTTGTCCATTTTGTGATGTGACACAGTATTTCCCTATGGCAAACGAACATTTTCCAAGGCTTTCTTGGGCAAGAAATAGCTGTTGTTAATGAAGTCATGGACTAGATGACTGTTTATTGCTGATGCTTAGCTAACCAGTTGTTTGTAATTATTAAACGCTGCCCTCCCTTTTTCTTCCTGAGCAGTGGTGTTGTTCAGATATTGTCTTCTGCAGCGTGTTGGAATGGAAGTTTTCTTGAAAAAAAGTAAGTGACTTAAAAGAGTCTTCACAACAACAAAAACCTGCATGTGATACAGATATCCACTGGATGATGGGAAAGATATGTTCTCTTTGGTGACAGTTGGCCTTAATTCAGTGGCTAAACTGATGACTTGTTCAAGAGCTGTAATGGCCACACACTCATCACTATGACACACCAGGAAGGGCATTGCTGATTGACGCTTCTTGGCAGGGAAGCAGATTATCAAAGAGACACTATCTTAGAAAGGTTTTGTGTAATCACAAAGTAAGAATTTGAAAATGTTGTCTCTGTCACGTGTGCAGTGTTCTTAATGTTTTTAATTCTTTAAATAATCCCCATAGTTTCTTTGGTTTACTTCCCCCTAGGTTTTTCTTTTCCCAAAAAGACTGAGTTTAGGGGCAACTCCAGAGTGACCGAAGCGGCTCTTTACATTCAGGTCCAACTCAGCACAGTAGGAAACTATATTTACCTGAGCTCCCAGGTAGTAAATAGACTGGTTATTTGTTCAGCCTTATCCTTTTTCTGTTCATAGATATCTTCCCTAGGAAGCTGATATTTTGATTTTTGGTGACCACAAGTCCTGGCCATCTGCCAGTTTTTTTCTGCTAGTGACTTGGCCAGTGAGATTTCAAGAAGACTTACTTTCAGTTCTATGTGTGAATCCCAAAATAAGCATGACCCCAACAGGGCTGCAGGTCACATCAGAAACTTTCTGAGGTCACATCAGAAACTTTCTGCAGTTACACTTAGAGATTGTAAAGTCATTTTCTATTATCACCAGGGTATCTGGAGTGGGTACATCTAGTTCATTTTGTTTCAACACTGAGTGATTTCCTCCAGGGAAAAGTTTTCTGGATTGTGCTGATGCTGGTATTTTTTATCAGTGATTTTCACTTCAATATGATTTTGCTTTCCTAGGGACACCTGAAAGTGTCTGGTCACAGTTTTGGACATTACAGAACTGGAGGGGGTATAGTTTTGGCATCTTGTGGGCAGTGACTGGGGGTGCTGTTAAGTACCTCACAGTCCAACTGCCCAATACTTATTCAGCCTCCTAAGTCAACAGTATCATGTTGAGAAGCCGTGTTCTAGAAGGACAGCTTTTATGAAGGTGTCAATGGCTCTTTGCAAGATTGGTTAGGTTATTCACCCTGAGTATTATGGGTTCATGGAACTGTAAATAAGGCTTTTTCTTTTTCTCCGAACTACATCTTTACTACTTCAGAGTCCTGCTCCTGCACATGAAAAATACCTCACAAAACGTCAATTAAACTGACCAGTTTTACAAAGCAATAAACAGCGAACTTTTAAAATAGCATTGCAGAAATACAGTCTCTCTGATCATAACATATGGAAGGTTACATATAGAACGTCAAAGTTAATTTCTGTGTTTTGGGGGAGATGTATTTCTAGACCGATAGCAACAACAACAGAAGACCTAACAAACAAAGCCCAAACACCTCCTCTTGATTTGACCATTAGGTTCAAATGCATATGATCATCAATTATTTTAAAGTTAGAAGTTCCACTTGTTTTTATAAATTATAATATTACTGTTAGAAGGTGTTACAACTATCTTAAACAGAAGCTTGTTTTGCAAATAGAAAGTTAATTTGTTATTAATAGATATAGTGTGTTCAGCAGTGGATATTTAAAAGAGATGTCTAAGTGTCTAAAAGCCTAAAGTGTCATTTCAGGTTAGAACAGTGATTAGTTGCTAGGAAGTTAGAAATACTAGCAGTTAAATTAATTCTTCAGTAAATAAAATTATATCTCTTCTGTTAATTTGGAGACCTTAACTCTGAGTTCTTAAGTGTTAGAGATCTGGTTTTAATTTTAAACACTTTGTCCAGAAAAGCTTTAAACAAGAAGGTATCACTTGTCACTGGTTGAGAGTGGACCAGTTTGCACAGGGGATGTCGTTGAGCCAAGCAGCATCTGCCTCTACCAGAGTGACACGAAAAGGCAAAACACGAATACACCAGTGAACAGGCACTTTGCTCATGAACTTCCAGACAACTTCATGTTGAAATGGTATCCTTCTACTGTGACTTAAAGGAAAAAAAGAGATTAAAAGTCAACTTCACTTTGAAAAAAGGGCTCCAGAAAGTTTACTAGTCTCCTGAAAAGTGTAACATTTATGTGCATTTTGTCTGCCAAATTTAGACCAGATTGGCATGGGCAACTATTTTGATTACCTAGTTATAATTCTTATTAGAGTGCTTACTTTGTTTTTCTTTTATTACACACTTTTTTTTTGTTTGTTTGTATAGAATTGATGAACATTTTAAAACAAGCCCTAAAATCCCTGGGATTGACCTGAACTCAACTAGAGTGTTGTTTGAGAAGTTGATGAACTCTCAGCATTCTGTGATTCTAGAACAGGTATGTTCTTTACAGTTTCAAAGCCCTGTGCTTAAAAGGCATTTTCCATTGCAAAAATTCAACTTTCTAGATAAGAAATGTAAGATATTTGAGATGCAGAAGCGTACAAATCTTAACTTTGTAAATTACTCACTTTGGGAGTTTAACCTACCTTGAAACCCTGCAGCACTGGGGGATATGATGGTTTGTGGATCCTCATTTGCGTTGTTATAATTGCAAAATACAATTCAGGCTCAGGGGGCAATAACACTAGAGTTTATTAACAGAGGAGAAATCTAGGAGAAAGGAAAGAGTTTCTGAACTCAAAATGGCTGACTGTCCTGCCCCAGATAGTCCTCAGTGTCTAGAAATCTAAATAAAGCCTGCTCATGTCAGATGGTATTGTCCCTCCCATGAGGGCCTGCCGCAGGTGGTACACAGGTGAGTGTTGCACAGGGTCTCTTGTGGTGACAACAGGTGGCACTGCTCACAGTGAACAGAAATTCAAAGACTGGGCTGGACAGCACTGAGTGCATTGGTACCACCAGATGGAGCTGGGTATGCTGGAGGCAGGGCAGGTATTCAGGGCTCCTATGGTAGAGCTGGGGAGATCAGAAGTGGTGAACAGCTCTTAAGAGGTGGCTGGGCACAGGCCAGCAGTGTCAGTCAGGTCAGCAGTGCCATTCAGTGCAGTTCAAGCAGCAACATGAAGGAACTGGCATGAGTGTTACAGCTCTTTAGAGGTACCAGGCAAAAGCTGGTGCCCAGCTCTTAGAGATGCTGGGCACAGGCCACCAGCAGTATCAGTCAGCAGCCGTACGCACACAGAGCTGGAGGCAGGAGCAGCGTCTGGCAGCCGCTCCACTTGGAAATGGTCTCATTGTGAGTCTCCTGATCACTCAGTGAAACCAGCCAGTGTCCGGGCTTATGTTCACTTCAGGGTGCCTGCATTTCAAGCTGCATCGGTCTGTTTTCAAAACGGCTGTTATTACTGTGACTTGTTGTGTGCCAATCACTTACAAAACCATGCAAGCTTTAAAACCAAACTAAATCTACTGTGTCTTTTCAAAACCCCAACCCCAGCTGGTGTGAAAACCTGCTTTGGCTGCCTAATTCTGGAGGTACAGCAGAGCAGGTATGAGATGCTTGGCTGTACCTGCAAACCAGGAACCTGGTGGAAGGAGGCAGGTTCCCCTTACGTCTTAAGTATAGTTCTCATGGGCAGGATCTTTGGCCTTATTTTGCACTCACTGTCCCGAGTGCCTGCCCCGGGTCTGGTTTCCTCTAGGTTCCCAGTGTATGCTGAGTGAATGAGAACTGGAATTATATCCATTAGCTTATGAATTTAGAGGTAAGGCAACTAGATCTCAGGGTTGTTTGAATTGCTCAGTACTCTTTTCTGTCTTACAGATCTTGAACAGCTTTGAAAGTTGCCTAATTCCTCAACTGTCAAGTTCACCTCCAGATGTTGAAGCAATGAGAATCTATTTAATATTACCTGAGTTTCCTCTGCTCCAGGATTCCAAGTATTATATAACATTGACTATTCCCCTGGCTATGGCTATTCTTCGCCTGGATACAAACCCCAGCAAAGTCTTAGGTGAATTTGCTAACCTCCATACCAGTGGTTTCGCGCTTTTTATTTTATTGGTATAGCCTCTGGCTCTCTGTGGATTGAAATCCAACTATCTGTTTGCTGCCATTTTATATCCTTAACATTTAAACCTTTCTTTCTTTGCTGTTAATGTCTAACTAGCTACATTTGCAATTTGAGCTAATAGAACTGTTGTTTAGGTTATTTGAAATGATTCATGTGAGACTAATCTTGATGTTTAAATAGTCACAAAATTAGATTATTCAACTTGACACTATTTTTTTCTTCTTACACTTGCTGTTAGTTCTTAATGCCTCCAAAATTAGTACCCATCTGTTGCTTTTTCTCCTATATCTAATTTAGGGGGTGGGAGTGAAATGAACAGTTTTGGTGATACAGGTATCCAAAAACAGAGCGAAAGGAAATGACCAAGTGGAGACTTACCAAATGTTTGTTTTGTTTTTCTTTTTTAGGACAGTTGAGTCCACACTGATTTTTGCAGGCTACGGACACTTTGCTGAGATAAGAACCTTCCGTTCCTCAGTGAATTGGAGAGTGTCTCATGGGAGTAGCACCTGAGATGTTTTTATTAATCAAGTGCAGAAAGTCTGTCACCTGGCCTTTTCCTTTTATTTTTTTCCTGGTAATTTTTTTAGGTATTCATTGCAACTTAGTAACTTCTGCGTTCCATCTGGACTAGGATGCTCCTTGGCCCCAGTCTCCCCATGAATCAAGAGACCCGTATTCCTGAGGATGGAATATTGACTTTTCCGTATTGCTTCTACCTTGCAGAAGACTAAAAAAACAAATAATAATGAAAATGCTAGTACACATCAGGCTTTAATTTTTTATTTTTATTTTTTTTTGGGGGTCCTTTAAGATTAGAAGTCCGTTGGGGCATATTTACTCAGATAGTTCTAATGGACTGTGAGGTAGAGTCTCTGAAAATGTATTATCTGATTTTTAAGTTTTGGGTTTTTTCAATTTTTATTTTTTCACAATAGCATAGCATAAAGAGATCAGATATGTTAAGTTTTACACTTAATTTGCTTTTGCCTTCTAATTATAGAAAGTACCCCAAAGTAAGGAGACTACTAAAGGCACACAGATTCAAGATTGTCAATAGTTCACCCTTTTTGTTTTATTTCATTTATTCATCACCTTTTAATTTTTCTTGGGGGCAGTTCTTTAAAATCTCAGACATTGTATTTCATTCACAAATATATTACTATGGCTGAGTTTATTTCTGACAAAGTAGAAGCCAACATTATAGTTTTCTTGTCTTATTAAAAGTAAGTATGAGTTAGTGAGAAACTGAAATATTTTTCAACTAAGTATGCTTCTGAAGGACAGGAATGGTTGCCACATTGCTGTTGCTTCTGGGGCCTGTGGTCCTCTAGGTCCCATGTACGGGATTAAGTGATGACTGAGAAGGGGCTTAATCGGATTAGTAAACGAATGCTCTTGCCCAGGGCCTGAGCATCCTGCCCACTCTGTCACTGAACTCTTAGATTAGCTATCTGAATGAAATTTTGAGGACAAAAAGTAGATCAAACTCACAAGAAAAGCTCCAGGGATTCTTATACAGCTGCTGCTCTCACCAGAAATGTTTTAATGGTTTCTTTTTAAAGTCAGTCTGAGAAACTGTATTGTAGACTAATATTCATCTTCTAGCCGGAGCAGATTTTAGCCGGTAGGCAGAAGATGTGAATACTTGGTCAAGATTACATGTTAAAATATGTCTTTTCTTTCTTTCTAAAGATAACTGGTGGTCTCAGGTATGCCCGAAATATTTCATGAAGCTGGTAAACCTGTATAAAGGCGCAGTGGTTTATCTACTGAGGGGAAGAAAGACATTCTTAATTCCTGTACTGTTTAACAATTATATTACAGCAGCTCTCAAGCTCTTGGAGAAATTGTATAAGGTGAGCAGAGAGAGTTGCCAGTGGGGCAGGGAGTGCGGGGTGAAGAGATGGTAGGGTCACAAGTCCTCCTGGGGTCTTGTATGCAGAACCATTTTCTAAGGGTCTTGGTTTTAGCTGTCTTTATTTTGTCCATCAGGTAAACCTTAAAGTAAAGCATGTGGACTATGACACATTTTACATTCCGGAGATTTCCAGTCTTGTAGACATTCAAGAAGACTACCTCATGTGGTTCTTGCATCAAGCAGGCATGGTAAGAATTTATATAAAGCATATTAATGCAATGCTTTCATTTTACCTGAGAGTATGAATAAGGACGGGAAGAGCACATCTGAAACATATAATTTGTACTTGACTTGTGTTAGTGTTTCACCCATGCTTTATGCAGCTGATTTTTGCATTTTGGATCCCTGACATGTTTTAAATAATCCTCAATGGTCATGGGGTTATAAATGCATAGTTACTCAGAGTGGTATGCTGAATTATTAATTGCCATTGTTTAAAAAAAAAATGGCATCTACGGTAATCAAACTCAGAAAATAGTAGGTGGTTGCCAGTGTCTAGGAGAGGGGAAATAGGGAGTTGGTTAATGGGCATGGAGTTCTGTTTTGCAAGGTGAAAAGATTCTGGTGATCGTTGCACACTAGCGTGAATATGGTTAATACCACTGAACTGTGTTAGATTGAAAAATGGTGAATATTATATGTGTCTTTTACCACAATTTTGAAAAAGTCAAGACACTTAAAATGATTTTTTCTGGAAGCTTGGGAGATCAGGCAATGTCTGACAACATGACCTCTGCTCCCAGCTCCCAGTGACTGACTGTGGTTAAATAGTGGCGCTTTAGGCGAGACACAAATATGCCGCTCTCCCACCGCAGCTTTGTTCAATATCAAGGACATGATCGTTTGCTAATTATCATCTTCTAACAGCTGACTTTGCTCTAGTTCTCTCATGTCTGCTTCCTGAAGCTCGTAGACAGCCTCTGATAGGCTTATGTATATGGATGTTCCGCATGTATATATCCCTGACCAGCTTCAGCCAGGGAACTGTGGGTTCCTGCTTCCTTCCCTTGGCCTAAGCAGTACCTACTCAGTTTGACTGCACACTAGCTCGGGTGTGTGCACAGGCTCCTAAAGATCCCATCTGTGGAGTGTGGGTCAGCGTGAGTCATGTCAGAAAATACAATGATAATTTGGCTATGGGAAACAGTGAAGCCATGTGTAGGGCATACATCTGGGGTGACTCCTGGCCAACATAACAGATTCACTGCCAGTTTTTTTATTATTTATTCTCAACATCATTTTTCATTTTTGTACAATGCATGCTTTTTCTTCTCATGGTCCCCATGCAGCTTCTACCACCAGTTCACCCATGTACATCACCATAGTTCCTTGTCAAGCACCAATTTTAGGTGATATTTTCCTTGTAAGGTTTTTGGAGGTCAGTAATAAGTCTCCAAAAGCAAGGCTTACTTTAAATAGGCTTATTTAAAATGAGCTAATTTAAATAGGTTTATTTAAATTAAGCAAGATTGGTTTTTCTTTTATTGATCAAATACTAAATGATCTGTGTTAGACAAAATACTGTTTTAATTATAACGATCTTAAACAAATTACTTTTCAGTAAAAATGGATTTGAGTCTTAAAATGGGTTTACATGGGAAAATTAACATGTAGACTAGCAATGAACTGCTTTCACCCACTCATTTAGGAATTGTAAAACAATGAAAATAAGTTAAATTTCATCTAATCAATGTAGGTCACATTTTTTATCATACATCTTTTACTGTGTGCTAATAATACAAAAACATTACATGTCTTGAAATGAAAAAGTTGCAAAGTATTATTATAAGCAAATATTGCTAGTGCTTATACATGTGTGAAAAATTTACAGAAGTAAAAAAAAAAACATTGTAAAACGGTATGGCTTTTCTGTTTTATCAGTTTGTGAATAATTCATTGAATAATAAAATGTAAAGAGCTGAACTAAGCCTTATGAACATGTTTCCGGCTGAGGAGATGTAGACCCAAAGAAGTGAATAGTTTTTCCACCAATTCATTTAGTTTTAAGCACCAACCATTCTGACTTTTAGTCTACTTTTTCTTTTACTTTATGCTGAATAAAACATTTGTAACGAACCCTAATTCTTTTGATGCCCCCCTCCCCTGCCCCAGTTGCTGGTGTTGAAATCTAGATTATCATAATTGCAGTCTCTGAATGGATGCTCTTGAGTGAACAACTTTTACAGTTTTTTTTTTAGTTCTTTCTCTTACACCTAAGTAGTAAATAAAGGTTTTGAATACCAGATGCTCACCTTCTCTTCACATAATTCGGGTAGAAAGTAGAAAATTAGATGAAATACTACATGACCCTTAGTAATTTGTGTGGATTATTTTCTGTTGTGTAAGGTACAATACTATAAATAAAGTGTGAATACCTTGATATCTTGGATCTTAACCTCAAATGCTATAGTCAGTCACCTTATATATGTTTATTTTGGCTGCTTTCAAGTGACAGTAATGAACAGTAAATGGATTTTTCTCTAGCTATATTAAGGAGTAATAGAGAAATAAAATTGAATATATTTAAAGTGTACAACATGACTGTGAAATGATTACTGAGATCAAATTATTCATCACTTCACATAGCTGATTCTATTTTGTGGGTGTGTGATATGATTAAGATCTATTCTTGGTAAACTTCAAGTATATAATACCATACGTAACTATACTCTCCATGCTATACCTTAGAGTCTTAAAACTAACTTATCTTATAATTGAAAGTTTGTACCCTATAACCAGGGAAACCATGCTGTGCCAAGCGGCAGTGTTTCCTTCTTCTTTATGACTGAGTAGTGTTTTGTTTTATATGTTTGCGCATGCATACCACAATAAGTGTATTTTTAGGTGTTAAATATTTGAACTTGGTTGTAGCTGAGGCAGTATAGCATTTAGTTCAAAGCATGTGCTCTAGTAAAAAGAACTGGGTTCAGATTTCAACTGTGGTCTACATGCTCTGTGACCGTAGGCAAGTTATTTAATTTCCGTAGTCTTAATGTTCTCATTTGCAAATGAGAATTAAAGCAGTGATATGAGAATTAAATGGGAGAAAGCAAGGAAAGACCTTAACTTGGCAGAGTGCCTAGTGCCTGGCATATAATGAACCCTCAAGAACTGTTTTTCATTAAGCAATTCTTAGCATTTCATGAATGTCACCTGCCTGCAAGTCCCTGGGGAGGGAGCCATGATGGCTTCTTTGGGGTATTCAGTGCTGGACAGTGGTGCAAAAGGAATTATGAATGGATATAGCTCGTGCATACAGAGGGTTATGGAGCACAAAAGGAACATTCGACTGTGGCTGACTTTTGTTTCTTTAAGAAGATGTGATAGTGGTTAGTTCGTTTTAGCTAAATTCTGAAAATGAAAACAGTTTGCAGCGTGAGTGAATCTGGAATCCCGTAGAGGGCAGCACCAGTGAGACAGTGACACAGAGGAAATGCAAAAATCTTGACTTGCTGCTGTGTCATGTGGAAATAGTGTTTCAGCGTTAGGTACAGTCTTGTGCAAGCGTGAGACATCCTCTGCTTTCAGAGGTGCCGGTGAGCCAGACTTGTCATGTGGGTGCAGGAACGCCTGGTGGCAGGCAGGCGGCTGTGTGTCCTTTGTACGTGGCCGGTGTTTCTGCAGGGCCTGTGCCCTTGGTCACAGTCTCATTTAAGAATCCTGACTTGCAATTCAAAAAAATAAGTGATCCCAACTCTCTCATTCTGTCACATGCACTGATTCATTGCTTCTATTTTATATACTAAAAAATGAACTAAAGTCACAGTGCAACCCCATTTCTAGCAAGAGCACATAAAGTGTTATCCACCAGTTCTTTGTTAGCTTTAGGTTTGGGGTCTGAATGACCCGGAAAAAGCAGCCTCTCAGGAAAAGGCTCATACATGTTTCTAGTTTATATACTTCCTGTTGGTTACAGAGAACACTCATGGGTCAAATTGTAAGTGCTGTTTTAGTATGAATTTCCCGTAACGCAGAAATGCCAGTACTGATTCTATTTTCTAACACACTCAGTTAAAAGTGATGATATTAAATTATAATTCAAATATAAAACCTCACTCTCATAAAAAAAAATCTAGACAAACAGAACTTTATATAGGTCTAATGTTTTAGTTTGGAAATTTTTCAAGATCCCTAAAGCAATAGATTTCTAAAGGATAAACAAAATGTTTTATTTTTTAGGATGTATTTTATTTATTTATGCATACAAGAGCTGGGGTACAGGCCAGGAGTTCGTGTGTGTATGTGTGTGCATGTGCACAAGCACATGTGGTGGGGGAGGGGGTGAGGAGGATTTGCCAGAGACAGTAGGGAGCAGAATATCAGATTGAAATATACTGCTGAGAGGAGCAGCTGGCAAGACAGGAGAGGTCTGCTGTGCCATGTGGGTCAGCTCCCTAGCCAGGGATTGAACTCTTGCTGTAGTGGCTGTTGGTAGCTTGATAGTGCTGAGGCTTAACGCCTTGCACCACCACAGAGGTTCTAAACAAGGTGGTTTTAATTGAAATTGCTTTTAAATTATTTTATTGAAATAGACACTAAAGGAGCTAAGTATATAGTTCTTATACAATATTTATAATTATAAAACAAAACTAAATTCACAAGCAAATGCAAACAAGACCCTCATATCAATGCGGCCCTGATTAGCTTCACTGGTTTAACATGATGAGCAACAACACTGCTGAAACTAAGTCCCCCTGTGGCCCAGTTTTAACTGCTGTCAGGCCTGGTGCTTGGATTCGTGTTTAATCTGAAGACTCTGCTCTCTCTTCTCCTTTCAGCTGCTATTAAACCTTCATTTATGCAGCGAACCAGACCTGCTCTGGCCTACACCTAAGCACAGTGCATCACTTACAAAGGAAGACTGCTTGCTTTTTTTTCCCTCAGTTTCATCAGACAAGTAGAACATGGCATGAAAGCAGTCATTAAAAATTATATGGAAATTATATGGTAACATACCATTATAAAGCGGTCCTTCAGAATGTGTTTTTATTAATTTTGTTTAAAAGATTATAAAAATACATAATTAAAAATTATATTACTCTCTCAGGTCTCTGCCATGGCTTTCTGTCTAAGAAATATTGCCTTAGGGCTCCTTGGGTGACTTAGGGATTAAGTCTCAGCACTGTCACTGTTCTCACCAAGGCCCACTGCTATAGTCTGAGGTCAGTCCCAGCTAGGGAGCTGACCCACATGGCACAACAGACTTCTCCCACCTCATGTCCTGCTCCTCAAAGCAGTGTGCTTCAGTAGATCCACCTGTTCTGCTTCCCACTCTGTGTTTGGTGAATCTTCTCACTCCCATACCTCTACCTGCACCCCAGTTTTCTATGCAAAAATAAAATTAAAAAGAAATACTACTAGATATCAACATGATTTATATTGTTGATTTTTTAAATTTCTATTAAATTAAGAAATACTTATCACATAACAGAAACTGTCAGGAGACATTTCCATCCGCCCTCCCACCATAAATGAAACTACAACATACCTGTTA